TGAAATTGTGCTATTTAGTATTACTAAAGTTTCACGGTTATATTGCTTGCACTCTATATCAGTATATTTCAGTGAAATATAATCAAAAATATTGAATATTCCATCATCTTAAGCCTTTGAAGATTCATCTGCCATGTTAGTGAACAAACTTAGAACACCAAGATTGCCAATCCATGCATTCTTATCAAAAATTGGGCCGCGTTTACTCTCCTATAACTAAGCAATGAAATGCTATAAAGCCTTGGAATGCTGAATGAACTCATGGTAGAATTTCATTTCAATCCACTAGAGAAACTTTCATTGTACTCAGTCATTTATAGGAAAATGCTAATCCAAAATACTTGACCCATAATTCCTTTAGGGGAATGTGGTTAAATCAGCGAGTTAGCAAAAGATTGAAACTTTATGCCCCGGGGGGGTACTCCCACATATGGACTATTTGGGGATGATCCGCTGAACAGGGTATGGTTTTTCAAGCTTATTGTCATAAACAGGGTATGCAATTTCACTCAAATTCCAAGTTCTTCCTGAGCTTCCTGTCATATTCAGGGTTTCTACTTTCGTATTGACCGAAACTGGTTATTATGGTCGTAAAAAAAACAATACGCGAGATGACATGATAATTGAAACAGGAACTCAGTGCAATAAATTATATCTTATGTCATAAACAGGGTCTACAAATTTGAGTTTTTTTTGTCATAAGCAGGGTACCCCTTTCAGAATCCCAGCGGAACACCCCTACCCAAATTCTGGCGGAGTACCCCCCCGGGCTTTATGCATGCATATTTAAATAAATCTTGATGAAATGTATGTCTGTTCCCTAACAAAATAGTTCATTAACGTTTGTAATTATCTTTTGATGTTTTAAAGAGAATAAAAGAAGTGTTTTGTTATTGAAATTTCTACTGTATCTGTAATAATAAGCAAATTTRAGCTTAATTTACTTGGAGAATGGTAAGCTGGTTGAGTGGACTTAAAAACTTCAAAAATGTCGTAAAACATTTTTTTTAAACTGTCGTTATTTTATCATATCGAGGCATTTAGAGTTCAGATAAGCAAAACCCAAGCGAGTTTAACAAACTTATACTTCCAAATGTCTGCGTGGACGAAGACAAGCAGTGTAGTTTCAAACTAACACGTTTATTTGAGTTAGAAAAAGTTAGGGAAAAAATTCAATATATCCTCATAAGCAAATAACTAGACTTTATCTTAGTATTTTGATGTATTAGTAAAGTGAGAAAGCACTTCTTACCGTGCAAAATCAGAGCTTTGTGTCCGCAACCCTCTTCCTTCTCTTCATCGCCTTGTCTTCTTCTTTACACCTGGACCTAGAAGCATCATGGGAATGTTACCCATGCTCAAGTATCACAGGGAACCCATGCTCAGCATTTTCGTGAGCAGAAAGTACCCGACGCCTCCCGATGCCATGCTTTTCCTAAGTCATTTTTTTCGTGTTCTGCCTAACAGCCCCACAGCACGCGCGTACTGTTACTGGGCTGCCTGTGGCGAAGCGGTCCGAAAACGTTTGTTTGTTTTCTGATTTCTTTTTGATCCTCGACGAATCGGACATGTTGCGCAATAGTACCCAGACATCTTCAGAGTATTATCCAAGATTCGGTTTTGGGTAAATGCTAAAAGATTGCACCCGAGTCAACTATTCGAGGATTTCAAGTGCTCCTCCAAAATACTCAGCGACTCACAAGCCCGAAAGAAGACCAGTTCAAACAAATTTGAATAGAAATTCCGCTAATCGATCTTGTTAGGCTGTGTAGTGAATCAATGGTGGAATAGCAGTAGCTCACCTCTCATCTCGGGTRTCGGTTATGCCGGATTCCCAGACTCGACTGCATTACACATGAGAAAAGTGTGTTAGTCACTCTGATTCTCCCCCCCTCCCTCAACAAAACCGCAAAATTTCAATTCGATTAGTGGGTTAGACAACATTCTCTTRACTAAAATAAGACTAAGTAGTGAGCTTCCTCCTTGCTAAGCTGGGTGCACCAGTATTTATTATAAAAAAGGCATTTAAAGTTTCCGGTCCACTAATAGTACTATAAACAAAACAAAGAACCATAAAAACTGTTTTAAACGTCTTTTATTTTAAAACCATCGAGCTAATGAATGAGCTATGTTTTGTCTAAAGAGCGCTTTTATATACGTCTAATGTAGCTGTTCATGTTGTTCGATACGTTGTAGCTGAAACAAAAAGGGAGAAAAGAATGTAAGTGTTCAGTGGTTTCTGGTRGCTGACATTGAGCAGGTCTAGTTTAGGTAGGACACGATTGATGCAGAGACGGCGCAGCACATTATRAGGGTGGAGGGKCTAAAAGGCTARAATTTTTTAAGTGCCKCGGTGGGGATCTAGAATCTTTTTTCTYCTTACGGACCTCAACTAAAGTAATTAATGACATTCAGTTCATTTTCGCAAGAAGTGGGGCCTGCAACGTGCGCTGCAAATGTTTATTATATTTTTCACTATTTTGTTTAAGGGAMAAATTCCTAGCTTTGTTTGTTGATTCTCTCCTGTTTGTAGAGTGAATTCTCTCCCTTTTTGGTCATACCGACGGGAGCCCCAAAATCGATACATTTGTCAAGGAGTTCTTTTCTTACCCAAAGAAATCATTATATCCTGAGTCAATGCGATATTGATCTGGATGCTTTCGTATGAAATCAATAACCACTTCCAATTTCCATCGTCCCCATCCCTTCAAATTGATGAAATCAAAACCGCCATCATCATCAGTTGACGGAGTAAACGGATTGGTGTCTTCGACTATGACGTAATCCCCAGGCTCCATAAATTGATGCAAGTATTCAAGGATTGCTTCTACATTCACATGCGCGTCTTCTGACACTATCCATGGGTGTGGTAATCCCTTCACAAAGAAAAATGAGGCAAAATATATCAAAATAAGTCATGTGTCTTTATAMCCCCCCTGCGCTAATTCGCAATCTGAAGATCAAAACAAAACATTTCCCCCTTTTGAGGTTTGAAATATTTTTGCAGTTAACATACATTCATTTATTTCGCCGCCATAGGTATCTRTCGACTAAAACACAATCAAGTATAACGCGCGCGCGCTCCGATTGCCTAGCCAAGTTAACCAATAAATACAACAAAAAAAACACAAAAATACATCTCCGTTAAATTAAGCAAAAAAATAGGGACTGGGAGATGAGGTCTCTTTTACTGCAATTTTTATAAACATGAGAACTCTACGACTCTTTCCAGAAGTATAACGCTATCAATAACGCTTTTGCACGTGAGACCCATTATAGCGACTCTTTATTTTCGACCGCGTTTTAGTTAAAAMTTTGCCAAGCTTCTGTACGAAATGTCCATCTTCAGGGCGCGCGCGTTGGAACAATCTTATAAGACTACGCGACTAAGTTACCCCAGAAAAATATGAGGGGTATGAGTTAGTTTGTTTTCATGTAATTGCAGCCTTCGCTCGCGCAGCTTTATCAAAAATGGACAATTTGTCCRGAAGCTTGGCAAATCATTAATTAAAACGTGGTCGAAACACATTCGTAAAAGGGTCTACCTTTGTTACTTTTGCTTCCCCATTTGTTCCCGGATGCTTTCATTATCAGGGCTTCATTTAAACTCAAAAGAGACAATTTTCCGACAAACCAACCTTGAGTAGTTCTGGGGGGAAAACCTTCTCAACTTTATTACAGTCTCCCTCTATAAAAGTGATGTCATCTCTCTTCTCCTTTGCTAGTGGTTCTAGTAATCCCTGGTTGATGTCCATTGAATAAACATGGCATTTTCCTTCACCCATTTTTGCGATATCGGCCATCCATATCGCAGAGCCACCACAATTCGAGCCAAACTCCAGGATCGTTTGAGGCTTGAGGTCCCATATCATTTGCTGATAAGTTATTATTTCAAAAGGCGTTTTCATCAGAGGCAAACCACGCCAGCTAGATTTGTATTTACCTGACAGCGTATTGGGAAGAAATGCCTTTAAATTCTAAATACATACGTTTGTCAAGTGGCATGCATGCAGAGATGACGAAGAATTAAGGAACGAGAGAGCGTGCAACTAAGTTTCTTTGATCCTTCCCAGCAGGAACCCAGACGATGGTCTCGTCCATACAAATGCTTTTTTGAAACGCTCCATTTTTGTCCTACCAGAAAAAAAGCGAACGCCTTGTGTTGTCTAACGTTTTCATGGCGTTTTCGCCYGTTCACACTAAAACGTTCAAAAACGCAGATACGACCGAAAATGATGCGATATCACCAATTGCGCATGCGAAAAACAGACTTTATTTGACTGACGGGTACGGTAGTCTGCAACCGATCTCTTACCAAGAGCCCACGTTCATTTTGGCCAGCAGAAACAAGGGCTCTAGGTACGATATTAAGCGCATGGCAATGAAACACTTTTAAAAGTACAACATTTTGCTCACCTTTAAAAATAGCCTTCCAGTGTTCTATTGTGAAGATGCATTCTTCCTTCCTTTCCTCAATTTTTTGCAAGCGGCGATCCATCGAGTCCGCCTCGGCTGCCATTTTCGCTTTGTGCTTTTGGTAATCGCTTTTGAGAACTTCCTCCATATTTATCAGTGAAGTTGGTGACGATTACTGAAACAACCAACATTATCATTTTTAAACGACTCAAAAACCTTCGTCAAAAACGTACAGCTGCATTCAGTTTTTTTTTTTTTTTTTAACGTCTGCAGAAAATTTTATTTTTCCACTGTAAAATCATTCCCTTAGTTCCAGTGTATAAGCAATCGATAAGTTGATATCCAATCGAAATAAATAGACATTATCACATGTTAAGAGCTTGATATCGTTTTTACTCGCGAGTTTCCGGCCATATGATATCGCGAACGAGCGCGAGTCTGCAAGCGAGTGAGTGATATGATATGGAAAACGTGCAAATTAAAAAAATCAGGCTCTAATGACTGGTGCATTAGACAATATTAACAATAGCAAACAATGGAATTTGCATGAAATTGTGCTATTTAGTATTACTAAAGTTTCACGGTTATATCATTTACACTCTATAGTTTCACGGGTTTAGTGCAAGCACTCTACTGTTAAAGAAAATTGCAAAATTCGCAAATAGGTAAGTCCCGGCTTCATTCAATGCCTAGGATATCATTAGCAGTGGGCCTAAGCTAGACACGATATTCTAAAAGTGTTACATAAAATCGTTCTATTTATTAGGGGTTTGATTTCATTGATTTTCAAAATTATACTTCGAATTCTACCGAGTCGCGCGCCATGAGTTCGCCACGAGTTATACGCCGTGTGCAGTGAAGGATAACAAGCTATATTGTATTCATTGATTTGTGGTAGTTTGTGGCAAAATGTTTCTTCCAAAATGCAAAAACTTAGTTGGTTTTTATATGGCTGTAGAGACTTAGACTTTAAGAAAAATCATGAACTTTTCACTGAAGTACAAAAGTACATATTAGCTACAAACCGTTTTTTGTTCACCAAAGATTAATTATTTTTTCATTTCCTGTTTTCATTATTTCGCTTTTGCCAGTTTAATTTTCTTTCTTTGTACTGTAAATATTATGGATGTGAGCCCCCTTGTTAAGCTTCACAGCTTTTGGGGCAAATGTTTAGTCAAATATGTTTAAAGGAAAAGAAAAAAAATAGTGTATTCATCACCAAAGTGCCCACTGATCAAAGTCGAGACTAGTTTCCCTCGCATCTGTTTTTAGTGTCGGTCGTTGCGTGACGACCGATACTAAAAAACGGATGCGAGGGAGACTAAGTCGAGACAGGAAACCAAAAATRTTAATACTAGTAGTCTATATCCTCACTGAATACTCATTACTAAAGGAGATCCACTACTGCTTGTGATATTATGAGGTGAACAGGGAGGTAAAAAGAAAATGAACATCTCCACCAACAGGGAGAGGGTATATAGGGCAAAATTCGTCTTTCAAAGCTCAAACGACGTTGAGCAATAAAGCATGTGGTGCAGAGCAAATTTATAGTCAACTGATCCGTGCTAATAATTTATGCAGTGAGCCGAAATAGTCCGATATTTTCAAGCATCAATGAAAGTAGAAAATACAACCTACGAAACCTAGTTTTTTGGGTAAAGTTTGGATAGTTTCGGGATTCGGTCTGCGGCCGGCCATTTCATATAGGATTAGCAGCATCAACAAAAAGTTAAAAATTAAACTTTTAAACCGATGAACGCCTAGCTACGCAGGCTAAAATAAAACCTATGGAGTTTTTTGGGTTCGCTTAGCACCRAGGGAATAAAGTGTAGGTGGTTTGGATTTGTTGAATACAAATAAAAATTCTTGGCTGCTGGCCATTTAGAATTTGGAAGACGTTGGCCGGCTGCCGGGCATTTAGCCACAGGTTTAACAACGTGTTGCTCCCCTCGATTCCCGCATTCTCGCTCAAGCATTAAACGAATTCAATACACTAACACTAGATGCTAAATAAGAGAAAAAAGGCAATATATGGAAGAGAAAAAAGGACAAAAATCATACCTGACTCAGCTACACAACGCCCTTGTTCACAAGACCTCACGAGTAACCGGATCCGAGTAATCCTAGTCTGCCGCTATACGTCTCGTCAAAGTTTCGTCACAGGGTGTCTTACTACTTATTATTCTCCCCCACAGCCGCTTTCAGTGTCGTCACGCAACGCTTTCTCCCCTGAGTAGCTAATCAGGGGAGAAAGCGTTGCGTGGCGACACTGAAAGCGGCTGTAGGGGAGACTATGAATTTATTGGACGAGGAGCAAACTCAACCGTGTCAATAAACTAAAGTATGAACAAACTTCCTAATTTATTTGATTTACAATACAAGACTTCTTCCATCGATCAAATTTACAAATTTACTTCACTAAAGTCGTTACTATTTATTCAAAGTATCCTGGATTCAAATTAGGACAAGTTTTAGTTCTTCGGGTGACCTATGAGTTCTATCGTATCTTTTGAAAATWCTGTAGACCTAAAATATTCGCAAATGTCACAGCATAGTTTATTTACAAACTATCACACTTTTTCGCAGATTACGTACCTGAGAATGAGAATATATCCAGAGGAAATTCCTGTCCAATGTTCAGATGCTTTTAGTCCACTCGCAATATCGTACCCAGTGCCTGCGTTTCTTCTGGCCTGGGCGAAGCACAAAGGCTCTGATGTGGCATAATTTAAATCCAATTTTTGAGACCAGGACTTCTAGGACTTCCGGTATAATTTGTAYTTGTATAAGAAGTAAACACAGAACTCTGTTTGAAAGCATGATTTTCATTGATTATGACAATGACAATGACAATGTGTTATTCACACCACATTTACAAATTTAAGATATCATTTACAACTTCCTTAAATATAAGGTGTAAGCTTGCTGTAAAAATTGCACATGMGCCAAAAAATGGATTATGCCAGAGCCCTAGAAAGAGCCCGCGTTCTTTGCCGCAGGCCAGAAGAAACGCAGGCCAGAAGGAACGCAGGCTCTGGCGACGAGATTGGTCCACTCGCTCTTGTGAATGTCTTGCGTATGCAATTTCTAAACTATACACACAGGCAACCCAAGCAGTGTACTTGAAGCTCAGATATGTATATATATATATTTTAATTCTTTGATTGCACGTTTCGTCATCGCGGCCATGTTGGTGCCATTTAACACGAAAAGATTTCCTATTAGCATCCATTATTAACGGCACCACAACGGCCGTCRTGGTTTTGTCTTTCAACTCTCTTGGGAATGCTTGCAACCCATCAATTCTTGGTTTGCAATCAATCCCAAGAGAGCACAATAACAAAAGGGATGTCCGCCATGTTGGAAGATATAACAAAAGAATTCATTGAAAAATCTTTTGTCAAATTCTTCCAACATGGCGGCTATGACGTTTATTGCAAACGAAGAATACGTGAATTTGTAAAAATTGTCCTCAATGAGTTTCGTTTCAAGTTAACTTTAGTTATCAATATATGGAGTTTTTATCACCTTCCAAAGTCAGTTAGAGGAATTTTTAGCGTGTTGAGTGCTCCATAAGAAATGTTTTCTATAMAAAATACGTAGATATTGGAAAAACTTTCTTTGCATTTTGCCTTTCCAATCTCATTACCAGAGTCCGTCCTGTCGTCCAACGCGTGCGAAATAAACCCATACTAAAGACTATATAAAGACTTTTTTTCGAAGAAAAAGGATACTTGAACGGGTTGCCAGAAAAACATGCAAAGAAAACAGTACTACTGGCAATGAGTTTATTGAAAGACTTAAAAATGCCCAGGTCAGTTCAAAGGATAGTGCGTGGCTTATGTTGGCAAGGATAATATGCAACTTTTCAAATTTGATGCACAGTGGCGAATAAACAAATACCAAGACAGARAAGGCACTATTTGAAAAACAGGTAGCCCAGTGCAATGATCCTTTGAGAAACAATATATCATATAATGAATGTAAAGCTACCCTGCAGATATGTCATCATTAAACCGTTATTATTATTATTATTATTATTATTA